ATGGTGGGCTGTTGCCTAGCTTGTGATGCCTGTTTCATCCGGTCTTAGGGTTGTTTAAGGGATTTAGGGATCGGTTGTTTAAGGGATTTAGGGATCTGTTAAAGGGGTTTGGAGCTTTTGCTAATAATCATGTATCTTTCGGGTCTGTTTCGGCGCTCACCATCACACCGTCCGGGCAAGGCATATGCACGAGGTCTAGTTCGGCTCGTACACTCGGCAAGGCTCTAGCATTTCACCATCTGAAGACAAAAAGTCACATAATGTCACATATGCGATGCATCGGCACACTGATGTTGCGAAAGAAGGCTCTCACTCTAGACCTCCCTTCGCATCGAAGTTAAGTTTATTTAAGCTCAAAGAAAGCTCTTCAAGGCTAACAGAGATCTCAACAAAAGCCTTTTAGCCACGGATTGGCACCAGGGTGCGCCAGGAAGAAGACCGCGCAAAGCCCGCTTGGCCTCCAGGCATGACAAACAACTACTACAGCAGCGCAAGGCTCAGCAAGTTACCCAGAGACTTAGGCCAAGCATACATCACGGCATCCTTTGCCGGCTTCGTTTTAGCTGTGGACCGGAGCACGACGCCCCAAAGCCCTGCAACGTAACTTCCGTTCGTTCCAGCTTAACTGCTGCAAGTTGCTTATGCTAAAATGCCTTTTTCACTCGCACAAACCCACGATGAACACTCAAATCCTCGTCACATTTCCAGCGAAAGCGCAGGAGCAAACGTAAGTTGAACTTACATTACAATATGCTCCATTAATTCTACATTCCTTTATGTAATGCTAGATGGTATAACAACATGTCATGGTAGCAACCTAGTATTATCACTTGATTGTTCGCTTATATGAGGATAGATTAAATTAGTTTTTTGAGGCTTTTCATTGCTTTGTATTCGTTTTCATTATATACCCTATTCGGCTATAGGTTTATTAGATTGGGGCCTTGCTAGAAAATGTATCTATATTCCACATGCCGGCACCCTCCGGCCCCTTGTGAGGCTCAGGGCCCTGCTTCCACAAGCTGCCCCTCGTCCACCCGTAGCCGGTTCCTGGCTTCTGGGTTTCGGCGCTCACACTCGGACCATCCAGGCGAGGCATAGGGTTCGAGGTCTGGGGGTTTGGGGCTTCGGGTTTAGGATTTGAGGTGAGGCTGTCCTGAGGATTTATGGGTCCTTTGACTTCCAAGCAGATCCCATGCAGTTCCACATGCCATGAGCACCAAACCTGACTGCCAAGCCATGGAATTCCACGGTACTGTACACCGGCAAAACGAAAACAGGCAATACTATGCCATAGATGTTACCAAGTGGCACGCTGTAGGAAACTCGCTCGATTCGATGGTTGTCAACGAAATGTCTGAGCGCCGCACACATCCTTCGTCCGATGGTCAATCGGCCGGATGGTCCTCCCATGCACCGGTTCGGAGTTTGAGGATGTAGAGTTCTTGGGAGAGGAGTTAGGGTCTTCGGGAACCGCACGAATGCCATCAAGCCCCCGTGACATTCACCACAACGACGCTAGCGACTGCGAGCGTTCTCTCAGCAACATTCTGGCCTCTCGTGGTCGTCGTCATAGACAAAACAGCAGCAGCAGGAGCAGCAGTAGCACCAGCGGTGGTGGTGGTGGTGGTGGTGGTGGTGGTGGTGGTGGTGGTGGTGGTGGTGGTGGTGGTGGTGGTGGTGGTGGTGGTGGTGGTGGTGGTGGTGGTGGTGGTGGTGGTGGTGGTGGTGGTGGTGGCGGCGGCGGCGGTGGTGGTGGTGGTCGTGGTCGTGGTAGAGCAGCAGCAAAAGCGGTGTCGTGATGGTGGCGGTGGTGTGCGGTGGTAGCATCGAAGAGAACAAGTTTCTATCATACAGAACAACTCACAACTCGAGAAAACTGGTCACTTTCAGGTCGTCCCGCCTGGCCCAGCCCTTTGGCGCCAGCTCTAGCTCAGCTACGGCCTCAGGATCCTGAGCAGGCGGTGCCCGGTCTCCCTCAGAGAGATTCAAACTTTTCAAAGACTACTGGCGCTTGACAACGGTTCTCACGCAAGCGAGGGATGATACAAGAAAAGAGACTGCCTCCTTGGCCGGACGAAGTGACACAGCTAAAGCGGATGCGAAACACTGGCAACTTCCTACTACAGCAACTCCTGATTAGATGCGCGATTAACGTTTGACTATCTTTGTTTGGAGCTTTCTTCAGCTAGCTATATAACCTGCCAGTTCCTGCCGGCGGTGCTCTGATGCCATTGGTTCCTCGACTGACTCACGCCAAGGCACGAAAGGTGCCTGGCTTCGCGGCGAGGGCGGGAAGAAGGACATCCTGCGGTCATTCGACGGATTGCCTGCTTACCAAACGTCATACACGCCTGCAACAGCACTCCGCAAGCCCTGGCCCCATTCAATGGTCCAGCTGGTGGCTGAGGACCACTGTGAAGCTTCCGACACGATGCTGGGCTTGAACTCGTCGAGTGCGTCATCGCCTGAGCGGTGTTTTTTTGAAGCCCCGACGCGCATGGGCACCCAAAACGGTCCTTCAGATCCCTTTGATGCCCCCTCTCTTAAGGCGAAGGTCCCCAAACCTCTCCCCCAAGCCATCCCAAGCAGCCCCCACTTAGGAGGCATCGATCGCACCCTGCCTTGGCCGTCCTTGGCGAAGACGCCATGCCGACCTGTCCCAAAAAGTGCGGCGCCCAAGAACAGCTTAAGCCCCCCCCACTCCATGATATATAACTGTTCGCGCTTCCTTCCATAAAGGAAGGCCCCCCTTGACTTTAGATATTAACTTTTTTGGGGGGAGGTTACGGTTAGCGATGCATACGGGTAGGGCATTGCTCCAGGTTTGGTAGTAAACTAGGCAAGCGGCTAGTTAAAGGTACCTTTTAGGTGTGTTTCGGATGGGAACCTGAAACCATAATACGCTGCTTTGAAGCTCTCTCAATCTCAGAGAGTATCCTGGGGTCCTTGCATGTAGCTGGATTTCTATCTGTCTAGCTGTTTTCCTGGCTGCCGCTCTGCCGGTCAAACCGCGAATCAGAATTCTCCTCTCTCTCTCTGGTCCTATGATTCCGAGAGCGAGAGTGTACTACGTTGAGCTCCTTTCTTCAACGTGCCCCTTCTCAAAACTCTCTTAGAACTGCAGGCTGCAAAGAGTCACCGGCAGACTGCTAGGGTGACTGCAGGCCACAGCAGTCAAAGGAGCACAGCAGTGCACGGAGCAGCATTCAGGAAGATAACGTTAGAAAAATGAATCCTTAGAGGGAACGGATGAATCACGAGTCGCGCTTCCATTGAAGGCAAGGAAGAGAAAGACCGGTTGTATGTTCAACGAAAACAGTGAACGCAAGGTTGCAGTCCTCAACTGATGTCCCGGCCCCGTGCGCCTTTCCGGGGCCTCGTGAGGCTCACCTGCTCATGGCAATCACTTGTCGCTGTTGGTTGCACTACGTCCTATGTGTGTCCTTGTGGGGCTTTGTTGATGACAGCATGCATATTTATTTCGGTTGCTTGTTGTGCTTTGGCAAATAGACGGGTGCGGGGCTAGACGCACGCAGAAATGATTTTCTGCGGATAGAACCGCTACCCAGCACAGAGTTGCCTTACACTCTGGCCCGAGCGAACTGCATCCCTCACGCCCCGGGGCTCGTGCTTCAAGAGACTGCTCAGACCCCGAGTTTGGTGGGGGTCGGGTCACTGAAAGTGCAGCCAAAACGCCGGTTTCCCAAGGGACGGCAAGGCCATGGGGCGTCTCTCTCTTTGCGAGATGATCTTATGGGGTGACTCCATGCTTGGGTCAGGCTCAAGGGCCTGGTGCCCGAGGGCTTCACTGCTTACAACGACTTCAGCTCACATGGCAGCTACTGTACTGGCAATGCTAGATGACGTGTGGGCTGTGGCTAGAGACTGACACGTGTATGCTCTGGGCAGTGTTGCTGCCCCAACAGCTCTCACTGAGCAGGAAGCGGGCACCGACAAGTTCGCAGGCAGGCCGAACATCCGGCTCCCAGGAACCCCTACACCAGAAGAGCTCACTGAGTGCCGCATTACATAGCGATTGCTTGCTGGAAATCCTTGAATGTGCGTACAGCGACTGCGACTGTAATAAATGAAGCCGACAGTTTCGAACCAGACAATATGTCTCCACATGTCTCCACGCCCTCCACTCAGCCGCAACAGCGCGCCTTCTAAGCGCCACTGAAAGAAGTGGTGAGGATCCCAGGTGCAACCCTCAATTACCAGCAAAAGAGCCGGCATCCTGTGCGCCGCCGTGAGGCCAGAGACGCCTGCACCGACAACCACGACGTCCTCGGAGCATAGGGACAACTCGCGTGTGCTTCAGGTGGTTACTGGATGTTGCTGGACTGTGCAGATACTCTTCAGATGCCGATGCACGGACTCCTTTTGCTGCAGCAAGCACGCCTCAACCTTGGAGGTCCCCTTCCTCTACCCGTCACATCGCCAACGGGGTTGGCGCCACTTCCAGGCATACAAAGGCCTCTGAAGCGAGACAGCGACAAACCTCGCCTGACGACGGCGAGTGTGAGTGATAAAGGGCATTATACAGATGCTCAGCATCAAGCTAAGTTACCTGCTCAGGCAGTTGGTCTGCTGCAGTATGCTGCCAGGAGAACGACAAGGTGTTTCGAATCTTCTCTCTTCCCCGAAGAAGTCCAGAATGTTTTGCTGCGAAAGTCTTTCACGTCCATTCACCACTTTCTCTTCCGAAGCTACCACGAAGCTAGCCGCTTGACCCCTCCCCGATGCGCGGTGAGGTCACGGATCGTCTCATCAAGTGCAACTGCGCTTTGACTGCATCGTCTGAAGTGCGCCCTGCAGACCTCCATCAGAGGCTGCTGCGTCCTTGAGCCTCCCGGGGTTGAGCAAGCGACGGACGCAGTGTCGGCGTCCATTTCCGTGCTCCAAAGCAGCCAGCTGCTGATGTCCAGGTCGCCAGCTCCCGTTCCCTTCACTGTGTCGTCAGTGGGTTCGTGTGCACTGATCGCATCGGCACACTCTCAGGTCTGCTCGATGGTGCCTTTGTAGCTCCAGTCCGCTTCTGGCCCAGGGCACTTGACTTCTTTGCCGCCCTTCAGTGTGGTCTGCCAGTTGAACTTCCCGTCGTTGTAGCGGGCTCCGCCGCCTTAGGGGGCATAATTTCTACCACTACGCTACCGCGGCGGAGGCAGACGGAAGTCGTCCCACCGTAACCTTGTGAAGATCTGCCACCAGCTTGAAGCCAAACTCTCCGAAGGAACCTCTGCCAAAGCCACGTCTACAGAAGAGGCGAGCACGGATGAGGTGGCTACGCAGAGAGCCCGAGTCCCGCGCGATCTTTCAAGAGGTTCTGCGTCATCCGAGCTCTTGAAAGATCCCACCGCATTAGCCACCTTTTGCTAGCAACGGCGATCGTCATCTTCAAGCCTTGCGGCTACAAAGTGCGAAACTCTGATGAAACGAGGAGGAACGCCTGCACAGAGGCTTCCTGGACGCCATCCTCGAGCTCCGAATCGAGCCAGTCGCATACTGACCCGAAACCGCAAAGCAAGAGCAGGGGCCATCGGTGGTGGTCGGTGCATCCCGATCTTTGCACATTCCGGAGTCTGAAACAGTCCTACTTTGGGCAAGGAGGCGGGCGAGTGCAGGCTTGCACGCACACACTACGGACGAGATATAACTGTACAATCCGGACTTAAAGAAAGCTTCCGCCCCCTGCCTGCAAGGTATCGGCCTCCTTCCCTGCCTGCAGCAGACGTCGACTGTGGAGGGAACCGAAGTCGGAACTTGGGTCCGCGACCCTCACCGCCACAACGGTTGATCGCGTCTGCACCTGACGCCTGGGCCAAGACGGGAGAGCTCGGGAGGCCACTGCGCAAGCGTGATGGTGCGGGTTGAGCATCCGAAGTCCTCTAGACTTGTCCTTCATTCACGATTGAATTCCCATTCCCCGGCGGATATTTCCGAGGTTCGACAGATGATAACTGCAGGTAACTAGGCGAGACGATTCGACGAACTACCGCAGTGTGGACGAGGCACCTTTTCGCCAGCGCAACCGCTGCCAGAACTGCCGAAGCTGACGCAAGTGCCGACGGCTTGCCTGCACTGCTTTCTGTCAGGGCACAGGAATCCACGAGAATACGGACCTGTCACATCGTTAGAAGCAGCTCAGCCATTTCTCTCAATTTTTCTCGAGGTCAGCCTGGTCCCCGACGCCCGGAGAGGAAACGACTAAACTCTGAGTTTAATGTGGGCCCCTGTCCGAGCTCCGAAGAAAAAGGATGCACCTCGTGTAACACGGGCGCGTGCTTAGTTATTTTTCCCTCCTACCTAGCAAGGACGAAGCCCGCATTGCAGGGTGTCTGTCTCGAACAGTTGACTACAGCCATTTGCATTCGGTGTTCAAACGCATGGCTAATTGGCAAAGTCGCACTCAACGACCAGAAAGACACGCTAATCCCGTCGTCAAGTTCTGTAGCGTGCTTAGTTATGGTTTGAAAGGTTTTGGGGGGTTTGTTATACGGTACATATCCCAGAAAGTAGTTAAGGTATCATTGATTTTTTGACCCCTAAAAGCTACTGTACCGCTTGCTGCTACCCTGAACCCTGAACAGCCTTGTTGCGGAACCTTGCGCGATGTCCGCCCACGCTTGGAGGCGAGCCTATCCCAGGAGGCGTGGAGGCAATTTGGCTCTTGGGCTTAGGGCGTCTGTGGATTTGGGTGCTATACAGTGTGCTTAGAGTTCAGGGTTTCGGTGTGTTTGATTTGGGAATCTGGTGAAATCGAATTTCGATACCCGCGGGGTTGGTTCAGTAGGGTTTCAGCACTCACACTCGGACAAGCCTAGGCGAGGTTCTCAAGTCCGCGACAGGCAGTAGGGTTTCGGGAAGTAGGGTTGGACACACACACACACACATATATATTTACACAAATCCAGAGTCGAGATTCGTAGGGCCTAGGGTACACGGCGGCGAGATAAGGTATCAAGTCAGCAGCCTCGGTTTGCAGGAATGGATGGGAATTAGTATGTGTGCAAACATTTCGTGTTGTGGGCGCGGCCAACTCCGCTCAGCTACTTAAAACCCTCAAACGCAAGCCTACGCTTAGTGCGCATGCTTCTGAGAGCGTGCGACCTTACTATGCATGTGGCTTCCCTCGAATGGCGGTGTTCGCCTGCTCACCGGCAGTGCTGGCGATGTGGTGCCGAGGACGAAGGCCTTGGAGACATGGCCCGAGACTTGAAAATCTTGCAAGATGCCCTTGCCAGGGGCGCTACGGTTTCGGAAACCCGATGGGCATGAACTCCAGCCCCCCCAAACCGGCGGAGGCATGGCTTCAAAGCACCCGAGCCCAACTCAGCCCGACCTCCGGCAAGAGCGCCATGGCTGCAGGGATTGGATCTCAAAAGCCTGTCTTGAGAGAAGCCTGATGCCGCTAGGTCATACGCGTGGCTTCCGAAGCTCTGACCCCCGAGCAATATGTGAATGCCAGACTATAAGGAAAGCCACGAGCCAAAACTGCAGGGCCGGGCTTCAAGATCAGAAAACCAGGCTTGCACTTGCACTTGCTTGGACAGGTCACGGGCCGAAGGAAGGCTTCCAGCTCTCGAAAACCCTTGATTTCTTGCTTCGATGCAAGGTGAGACTGACAGTGACTGCAAGGGCTTCTTCGAAGCTGGCGCAGTCACGGCTGCGGACACAGGAATGCTGCGATCCATCGATGATCTGTTCCCTGTCTAGCTTTTCGTGGCTCGGAAGTCGCTTGCTTGCACGTCTCGCCGACCCCACCCTCCCAGTTTCTTGACCCGAAGCGTTGAATCCTACGTCCTAAGCCGTATTCGAATCCCCAAGCCCTCAACCCGAACTCGCAACCCGAAACCTTGGCAATGCCGGAACCTTAGATCTTTTTTTGAAGAAGTACTGAGGCCGATGCACCTTCAGTCTTAGACCCCGCTTTGCTACTGGACTCAAGATTGCCGGTCGTAGACTTCCTAGACTTGAGTCTGAGACCTAAATAAACTCCAAAGCTGGCGTGTGCTCAGACAGCCGCTTCGGCTTCCTGCTCTGCTTGCGCTTGCACCTCGCGAAGGTGGAAGTCTGCCAGCTTGTGCTTGCCTCAGGCATCTGCTAAAATCCCGGCACTCTCACTTGGACTTTGGGAAGTCTCACACTCGCAAGGCTCCGGGAAGACTGAGACTGATCCTTCAAGCTGCCCAGCCGTAAACCAGTAAACCTGCAACCAAACTAAGGCAAACTTCCGATGTCAATTGTTCTGCCAGATAGATAGTTCACAGTAGAGAGAGAGAGAGAGAGAGAGAGAGAGCAGAAAGGCTCGGCTAGTTGTTAAAATTGCCTGCGAATGCAAGGCGACCCTTCCCCCCAGGACCCTTGTGCCCCGCAGCTCACAAGTGCCGCTGTGCCGTAATCACGCCTATGCCACCCCAAAATCAAAGGTCACCCTTTTGGAAAACAGGGCATCGCAGCCATGCGGCAGTGGAAGTAAAGCATCGGGGCATCCACCAGTCGCGCCTCCTGCAAGTGCGCACCTTGTTGCGGGCGGCTGGCTCGAGCGAGGAGAATAATGTGCGTGTGCGTCTGTGTGTGTACGAATGAGAGAGACAGCAGAGAGAGAGGAGAGAGAGAGAAGGAGATGACTGGCATCAACGAAGACCTTCCTGCTTTCACGTGAGAACAACTTGGGATGTCAAGTTGACTTGCCTGCAAACTGATACTAAGCATGAAGGGAATCCTGCAATGCTGGCCGTGCACTGATGAGCCTCTTTGTTGTGAAAAACCTTACAAGCCCTTCGGGTCACTGGATTACATGCACCAGATTGAAGTTACGACTGATTCGCTGGCAGCGAGTGCTGATGCGAGACACATGTTCAAACGAAAGGTTTCGACATGCTGCTTTAAATGGTCACAAGTTGCCTCATGTGACTCGCGACTGCGGTGGTGCTATGCCAACATGCTCCAAGGAGTTCTGAGAAGTTTCTTCGTAGCCAACAGCGGAAGCTGTCCAAGAAAGTCTGGTCGCCGTTCCAACCATCCCTCAATCCTGCACGTACTCTATGTTCCGTCTGTTCGTCGCCGATGTCTCTGACATCATGGATTGCATCAGCGTTGGAAGGCATTGATCATCGCTGATCACCATTACCAGAAGTCGCCAAGATAACATGACCCAAAGGGTGTGCATCCGTGCGTGCGATGTGCATCTGCGAATAGTGGCGGGCAAGAGGAACAAGATTTTGTCCCAGCTTCAAGAGTTGGCCTTTATCAACGACTTGGCAGCAACTCCCTGGAGGCCGAGCGATGGCGTTGGAGAAGTGTGCTGAGAAAGATAAGAATGGGCAAGGCGCAAGCTGTGCAACAACAGCAGCAGCAGCAGTGCATCACGAAGTCGCGGTGCGGCTCCAGGTTGATTTTGAATGCCTGGCGGATGCCTGGGCGCAGGCATGTCCCCAAGCCCCTAGACATGCTTCAGGCGTCGCGCAATGGAGCGTAGTGCTTGTCAAGGCCTCAAGCTTTCCGAGCTTGACTGCAGTAGAAGTCAGCGTTTCCATCTCTCCGGCCTGTTGGCCTCCTACAAATCGCATCGACAACACCTAGGGTGGTTTCCACTGTGCAAGCTGGGCGGCGATATCTGCCGTAGAAGTTCAGGCAAGGCCAGCACCAAGGGCAAAGAATGTAGGCAGCGAGCACCTTCTGCGCTCAAAGCATTTGGCCCGGTACTTGCTTGCTAGACACCTCGGGGTTTCGGGATCCGCGGAGTATGCGGACGAGGGCCAACGGGCAAAATCTGTGCAGCTGCGAGCTTCAGGTGACAGCAAGTACCGACATGCCTAAAACAAGGTGCGGCACTCTCTCGCCCTCTCGCTTTGGCTCTCGCTGGCTAAACCCGATCCGCCAGCCCATGGGCCTTCCAGTAGGTTTGCCACTCTGGGACTCCCAAGGTGTGCCAAGTATCCGCCTCGACAGCCGAATCTCGAAGCATAGTGACGAAATTTCACGTTGGTTCTGCAGCAGCCAGAATTCGGGGCAGGGGGGGGCACATGTATGTATGTATGTATGTATGTATGTATGTACATACATACATACATACATATATGCATATATGCATACATACATACATATATGCATATATGCATACATACATATATGCATATATGCATACATATATATATATATATATATATATATATATATATATATATTCGTTTGTTTATGTATGTATGTATGTATGTATGCATGGTGTATATTATGTTTTTCCCTTTCGCCCTGCTGAAGCCGCAAGATATTATATCCCTTTAGACTACATTAAACTATTTCATGTTTAAATGTATCGCCAGAGTCGAGGACCGTGGAGTAAACCCCACTCTCTCTGTCTGCTTCGCTCGCTCTCTTGCCGTAGGCCTTCCGGACCACTTGTTTACTAGTCAGTGAACGGCTTTGGGGGCAAAGAACTACTTAGTTGGCTCACAGTCCCCGAGTTGCAAATCCCAACCCCGAACGCCTAAACTTTGCTTAGGGCTTGGGCTACGAGCAGTCCTCGTAGCCCGCGCGAGATCGAGCGGGCAAGTCCATCATGATGATAGACTCTCTCTCTCTCTCTCGCTCCCTCGCTCTCTCTGTCCCTCACGTGTTCCTCACATTTGTCGTTTTGCAGGCCACGGTTGAGAGTAAACGAGGACGGTCTCACAACCGCCTTGCTGGTGTCCCAAGGTCACTCCATGCCCTCCCACCTGCCGGCACAATGGACAGAGCATGTAGGCCACACATAGATCCTGCTCAAGATGGGAATGAAAAATTGTATTTTTGTCTCCTAAACACTGCCAAGTGTTGTTCAGCCATGCAAATCTGTGGATTTTTGCGACACTTATCACGATCGCTGTGTGTTGCTCTTTCTGCTGTTGTCACCGTCACTCTTGCTTTGCGTCCTGCTCACGGTACGGCACGGCCAGCCGTCGAACCTAAGTCTGATGCGCGTGTACGACCAGCCCCGCACCACCACCGCCACCATTGCGCTGTTACTGCTAGTGCTGTTTTTGCTACTTCCCCTTCATTCTACTGATTCGTGCGGTGTAAACTGCGCCTGCATGTGATGCAGCTTCATTGTATTGTCAGAATCCTGATGAGCGAATGCAAGGGCGAGACTTTGGACGCCAAGATCTTCGCCAGCCCGTGCAAGAGTCTGTCCACAGACAGCAGCGAATATGAAAGCTGCGCTGGGTGCCCACCGGACGACAAACTTCGAAAACAGCCAGATAATCAGTTGCCATTTATGACGACCACCCCTCCTCCATCCTGCATTCATGAACGCAAAGATTGAAGTGTCCATTTCTTGTTTCGAAGCCTCCATGAGATCTTGCCCAAAGATCTCGCATGCACACACATTCCTTGAAAGAACTGAGGACGACTGAACTTGGTAAGGTTCACGAAAGGCCATGAACTACGAGTACGACAACGTATGAGACATCAACCCCTTCAACGGCACCATGCTCACAAATGCAAGTGAGCGGTCCGGATCTTCGCAGGGTGAGCAGGCCCCATCCACGCCCTGGCACGGGAAGACGCAGCTGGAATGCATGCTGAGAGGCGCACCCCTGTACACCTCGAGCCAACGGTTTATCACGGTCTCTTGTCTACTCATCCCGCGCGTTCCAGGCTTGGGTTTGTCTCCGGCTTGTGGCTTGTGGCTCAAAACGCTACATGACGGGTCACTGCGGACGGCCTCGTGGAATGTCCAGGGCGGTACAGTCCGACTAAACCCTCAACACTAGATCTTTCTCCAGCCTGCTTCTGACCGGATTGCCGGCGCCGCTTCGCAGCAGAGCCTGTCTTCGATGGCAGCAAATCTGAACTTCCCAACTACAACGGTCGCTATCGATCTAGATGAAAAAGCATACATGTGCAAAGACAAGCTTGGAGCGATTCACCGCGATTTGTTGCACGTGAGCCTGTGCCACCCGTCTAAGATCCCTTTCATGTCGCCGACGACGGCTCTGAGCTGAGAGCCTCCGGTGCCTTCCATGGTTTCCGGTGCCGGCGCTCGGCCACGGCGGTCGGTGACCTTGCACCCAAAACCCAATATGCAAGCATGGCAGCATGAGAGAACCTCCTACTACCACCACTCCCTCAACCCGTCAATCCGTTCCGATCGAATTCGAGAATGAGTCTGAGTAAAGCATCCAGGCAACATGTCCCCAACACCACTTGAAACGTCATAGCTTCATTCGGGACTATATGCTCGGCCTGATCTCCAGCAGCGGCACCTCATCTCTTTGAGGCATCATGGCCCATTTCTGATGATAGGAATCGTAGGGGTCGGTTTGATCTTAGAACTATGCAGCGCAAGTCGTCATTTTGGCTTCCGGGCCAGTCAATCATTCCGTTTGACCATGCCAAAGGCAGGCACAATACAGACTTCCTGTGAGGACTGTCGTTGCTTCTCATGGAAGTGATGCGCGCAGCTGCAATTTCATGAGCGGTGTCTCACAGCTCGTTCTTGCCAACTTAGGCATAGAGAAACAGGAAAGCATAGGAAAGCTTCGGGCAAGCTCTGGCATGGCACTGGAGCACCTGCAAACCCCGAAGCGCCTGTCGGCATGGCATACATCTTCACCGCCTGCCAATGTCATTGTGCCATGTGAGCATTATGTACAGAGGTGGAGGATCGGGTCTCACAGACATTGATAGACCTCTGCAGTGTGACGAATCCTGAAAACCAACCCCTCCAGGAACCCCGAACTCCCAGTCAACCAAGAAGTGTACCTATTGTGTACGCACCGCATACACACTTTGATCTTGAACTCCTTAAAAGCCCTCTCTTTGTCCTCTCTTTGAGACTGGAACGTGAAGCTAGTCTGTGACCCGGCCTCTGCTTTACTCCGTGCTCGCTGCTCTGCAAACATCAGACTCGGCAGTGGGATACTGTGGGTAGGTCGAGCTCAGCCACAAGCCACAGGATGAACTCCAGGTGCAAGTGTTGATCTGAATTGCAGCTGACAGTGGCTGGACCCTGAGAGACCCCTGGTGATCATGACCGGAGCTTCCGGGCTATGGGGCTGCATGTCTTTTGACTGGCCCTCTAAGCAGCTCGGGGATGCTCCAAGTAAGGCAAGTTCGGTCCCTTCTTCGGTAAGGACTAGTAGGGACCAAATGGTGCCAAAAGCCGAGTGAAGGCGGACAAACGCACAACATCGCAGCTCCTTTACAAGAACGCGTGCTGCGGCAAGAGAGTACCAGAGCCCCTGCCTTCCAAACCATGCTTACACGCAAGCCAGCCTGACGAGCCCCCTCTCTGGTCCCATTAGGTGCCGTGCTCCCACGACGTCATGCCCTTAGACTCCAGCCAGCGGCCTGGCATGTCTTCTGGTGAAAGTCTGTGGGGGGGAAGAGTCGGGAGAATGTAGCAGCATAGCATGTCACAGACAGAACACTGTATCAGTCTCGGAACTGTCAATGACCCAATCCATGCATGCCTTGTCAGATCTGGCAGGGTGCCTTGGAAGCTCTTGGGCAGGTCTCCGACATCGTAGGTGAGGCGGCCCTGTCGCGCGGCATGGCAGCAGAATGCGAGTATGACAAGATCCTCATTTTGCCTCACTCAGAAAAGGTTTTTGGGCTGAGAGCTTCAGCATGACAGCATGGCTTTGCGAGCTCGTAGCTGCGGGAGTGCCAGCATCTGGCACTTCCCACTCCCACCCTGAAACCGTCTGAATCCCACACCGTGGGCATGAGCACCCAAGGAAAGCTCTGACCCGGAAACCCTCAAGCCCGAAACCCGAAGCCCAAGGCCAAAAACACACACGCGCGCGAACAATGGTGCCAGTGCTCTACATCCGTCTGTCCAGCCATCCATACATACGTACGTCCAGACAGACAGACAAGCAGGCAGGCAGGCAGACAGACAGACACACAGGCATGCATCCATTGATATGCATTGATATACATAAACATGAACATGAACAGAAACAACGCCAGAATTGGATTCACAAACACATCGGTGTCTAACTATAAAACACACATAAACATAGACACATAAATCGTAAGTGTATGCATGCACATATGTGAGTGTAAAATTGCATGTAAACGTAGGTGCAAACAGAAGTATGCGTATAGGTATGAGTATAAGTACAAACAAGTACAACTAGACATATTTCGATGTGTGTATTTATGCATTTTCATACATACATATCTATATCTATATATATCTATATATATATATATGTATATGAACATGCAGCGTGTGCATGCTCATGAATACACACAAGTATACTTATATGCACACAGATACGAATATGTATATGTATCTGATATGTAGTTATATTATGTTATAGAACGTTATATTCATATGTCCCAGGTGTGTGTGTGTGTGTGCGTGCGCTCATGTGAATGAGTGTTCGTGTGTTTGCATGTGCTGAGATGCATAACTCTGTCTATTCATCTACTCTATGTATACTAATGCACGCATGCATGCATGCATTGACGTATGTCGCTCTCGCCCCGTGCCGTGCCATACGCCAGGGTCTCGCAACTACGTCTCTGTTGTTCCCTGTCGAAGCGAGCACGTTGGCCTTGCCCACCATGCACACACCTCGCGCTCGGGGGGGTTGGTCCGAGGCTCCGAAAAAGGAGTGGAGGAGAGGAGAAGTGCTAGATTTGACATGCTGGGAGTTGCAATCCAATCGGAGTTGGTTGACTCCCTGTCATAAGATCTACGGGAAACAGGGATGTTGACGCTCATCTCCGCCCACTTCCCGATCCAGGCGAAGTAACCAGCCAGATCAGTGGAGGTGTGTCAGTTCCGGAAGCTGCGTGACTTGCAGACGCAGTGTGCAGAGGGATTTGCAGCAAGGAGAAGCCTCAACACCTGCAAATTCCTGCAGCTGAGCGGCAGCTGTATATGCACCCAAGCCCGAGCACCGTCAATGCAGCCAGGGCATAGATCGAGAACTGCGTGTACCTTCACGGGAGCAAGGCCAGGCATGGGCTGCCTTCTTCTTGTCACCTTGAGCTTGATTCTCAGTGGGGCACTGCTGCACATCCACACATGTCGGAGCGGCACCCTGCAGTGTGCCATCGCCTCGATTCGGTCAAGATCACAGTTGCTTCCATCAGTTTCTGCGCAAACCACATCCTGTAGCACCACATCGCCAAAAGGCTCCGGTATCACAGTTGCACGCATCCAACGCCCTCACAAACAAACTGAAGCCCTGTGTCCGAAGCCCTTGTGCCTTGGCAGACAAACTCAGCTTCGCCGCCCACAAATCCTCGCGACCATCCGGGCTATCCGGCCGCTGGGATCCCAACCGATTGAATCCGGGCAGGTCATGGCAGGTCATGCCAAATTTGTTGAAGCTCATCCCGGCAGCCCCAAACACTCGCCTGGTGCACAGGAGGCCTTGCAGGTGTCACCTTCCTGCAGTGACTGTGCTTTGGCTCGCAGCGACTCACAGATGCTGCAAAGTCTGGAGAAGGCCACTGGTCACTGAGGTTACCACCGGCAACAAGAAGACTAGCTAGAGGGTTCCACCATGCACTGGGAGAGTTCTTGAGAGATTTCTTTGCATCAAAACGGAGTTTGCATGCGCATCTGCACATCACATAGAACGTACTTTGTAGTAGCATGGGACCGCCGGCCGACCTTTGCTTACAATCGCGAGTCTCGCAGGGTTTTACCGATTGCCCTTTAACCTTGTCATTATCATCAGAAACATCATGATCGCTGTCATTATCCCTCTCCGTCTTTCTCTCGTGCAGTCTCGAAGCTGCATTCAGGCGTGTTTGAAGTAATGGACCACAAGGTCCTAGGATCTGCGCACCATCATGATACGGATAATCCAAGCAACCCTCGAAATCGTATTCTAGCATCCATGTCACGGCATGCATTCTGACGAAGTTGCTCCAAACCACCCACGGCATATGAACATCATGACCGGATCGCAGCACAAGTCGCTCCCTCATCTGACCCGCATGCACAGCGTCATGGTGCTGATCTTGCTTGCCACCGTCCTTTATTCAGGTGAAGAACTGCCTATCTCATTAGCCCTGGTAGCTCAATTCAGTAGCATCCAAAATCCCACAGCTCCAAATAAAGCCAGATAGACCCCAAGAACGGCTTCATGAAACGCCTTGAGGCCGATAACCGGGGCACCATCGCAGTCGTGCTGGATACCGGCACCTCCAAAAGGCCCCGCTTTTGACTCTCACAGCTGGGACAATGTGGGCGAGGGGTCTGGGTTCAGGGTTTCGTGAGAGCTGGCTCGGCGTTCAGGGAATACTTCGTGTTACCTGCGTTGATGCTGCGAAGTGTCAGGGTCTGGAAGCCGTCGTCCGGGTGAAAGGTTAACCACCAGCGGCAGGTCACAACCAGCGAAAACGTGAAGTACATGCTGCCAGCCCGAACAGCCAACAAACCCTCTGCATGACCTCGGAGCACCTCGATCATGTCCATACTTAATGGACGCGATGCCTCTTGGCCCCTCAATGAAAATCTCTGAAACACACCGAACACAAAGTCAGGGTGTAGGGCGTTGTGGCCTGTGGACGAGCGGGTTTACACGGCAACAAACGGTTTGATAGACTAGTCCCGCTGCCAAACTGCTTCAGAGTAGATGTGCTGTGATTCATGGCTCTCTGACTGCTGATCACGGAGTGTACAACTATGCGGGCGTTCAGTTGCATGACTCACGACCCTCGCCCCACGACCTCATGGGCTCCTCCTAGATCCGAAGTGTGGTGAATTCCGAAGGAAATGTTGCCCTGCAGCTGTGCCACCAGCATCCAGCCCGCCAGTACAGGAGCTGGGCACCACCTTGAAGCCAGCACAGTTCTCGTGGCTTTGGTGATCACAGTCTCAAGGTGCACCACCTCGTACAGCATCCAGCAGCTAGCAGCTCAAACAGAAATCTGGACAGGTTTTGGGATTTTCCGTGCTCCGGGAAGCTTGCTGATTGATGGTTGAAGGCCGCCTCAAGTATTCTCCGGCGTTCCTCTCAGATGCCGCCCAAGAGCCAGGTCATATCCTAGTAGCCTTCCTTCGCTGGGCACCTCCCAGGTGTGTTCGAACTGCCAGCCTGTCGCGAAACAAGAAGAAGAGGTTTTAGTGACCAGAAGTAGTGCCGACCCAGCAGTAGTACAGGGTACTGCTACGGAAACAGCACCGGTGCTGTGGTCGCAACGCCGGCTGCAGAAAAAACTCATCCATGCACGCTGGGTGTCTTGACGGGACACCGTCGCACCCGGAAGGACTGCTGACTGCCAACATTCTGATGATAGCTTGATTAGACTTGTAGCTCCAGTGTACTTGTGGCATGAGTACTTGACAAGAAACCACAACACCTCGAACCTCCACCAGCTCCCCCACCAGTCGGCCACTTTGTGAGGTTCACGGCTTCTTCACGAAGCTAGAAAGGCACATCACCCGAGTTTTCGGAGTCACCTACTACTGTATGTGGTCTTCTGGGCTTTGAAGCCAGGGACAGCTTCCATGATTCGCGGCAAGCGGAAGATGCATGCCTTGGCCATCCCAAACCTGGAGGTGGACGCGAAGAGCTCTGCAGCAAGACACCTCGTGAAAGTCTGGCTTTGGACTACTGTGAAATTCTGTGGGACTCGGGCCTCCCGACGAAGGTCCCTTAGAACTCATCCTACCCTGTCCCAAGACACCTGCCTGCCGTGGTCTCAGAAGACGAGGTGCAGGGCCAGACACAACGCACTTAATGGCCCATCTTTGGAGCCCAGCAAAATCCTACCAGCGAGACTCGCCGGGCCTGGCTCTGCTGCAGCGACAGGCACCGCAGAGTTCTCGGCTCCGGCAAGGCCACGGCGACCCATGCCTTTGATCAGGGCTTGGGGGTGCTTCTTAGTAAATTGAAGGGATTGTGAAGCCCGCTGCTGGTACTCATTCAAGGTGTGTTATCTTAGGGTTCAGAGGCCCGGAACTCCTTACCGTACTTCTTGAAAACGCGCTCTCTGTCTGCATGTATCAAGCTCTTTTCCAACTGCAGGTGCCGTCAGAATTCCATGATCTCCACAAACCAGCATGCTTTCAGGGTTCAGGATTTCACGGTTTAGAAACTCGGACAGATGAGCATACTGGACGTGGGACCCTGCGACAGGTCGTGTCCCTGCCCATCAGGCAGAGAAAGAGCTCATATGTGTCGAAGTTGGGTCGAGCTGGATGGTTCGGGCAACACTTAAACACGACTGCACCACAAGGCATGAGCAGCTGCAGGGTAATAAAGCTTTGAAGTAGGCCGTGCCCGGTACCGGAATCGTTACCTTCCAGGCCCCTCGCTGCAAAGTGAAACATCGGAGGCCGCATGCGCTGGAGGGGACGGATCACATGACATTAAGCCCCGGCTGAAGCGCGACATCCGGTCCCTTCCAAGAACTGGTGGCTGGATCAGGCCACAGAATCCAGAAGCCACTTTTGGACAGCTTAAGACTACGTGGCCTCGGCATGTTCGCCGCGAAAGCTCTTCGGCTTTTTGCCACTACTATCTGGCCTATACCGCGTGTTGGAAATATCTCGAAACCACGATTCAGCTGCGTGCGTGTATCAGACATGTCACGATCACTCCTCGAGTCCGAGGCCTTAATGGTGTCCTCGTGGTGGACGTGGCGGAGGGCGATGCTGCGAGCTGCCAGCTCGTTGTGAAAGGACCGTCGTTCTGCACTCCTGAGCAACACAGCTGCGAGCAACAGTCATGCTGGCCGAGCGCGACGTTTGGAAACGGTCTACGCGTCTACTGTACGGTGCACGGCCCCTGTGCATGCCTGTGAAATCCACCAATCCGGAGGATTTCTACGACTCAGCTCTCGAAATATCTTGCTTTCTTAACAAGCCTCCGTGGTTCATCGGGTATGTCTCTGCATCGGACCGAGCACCCGGGATCTCAAGCAGGAGCACCATCTTCGATCGGAAGGTGGCTTGTTCGCCTCGCTTCTTTGTTCGTAGATGTCTCACACCACGGATCCGATTCTGTCATCCCGAAAGCCTAACCTCTAGGCCAAGAAGCTCCCGGAGGGCCTCATGAGCTTCCTCCAGCTCCTCGGAAGGATCCTCCTGCAAAGGCTGTGGTGCTGTTGCGTGCCTTCCTGTTCCTACCACAAAACATGATCGCAAAAACAGGCCACTGTGTAGTATCAGTAGTGGTCGTCGCGACGGTGTAGGTGGTGGCGGAGATGGTGGCGAGACAGTCGGTGGACTGCTGCTGCTGCTGCTGCTGCTCCTACTTCTACTACCACTACCACCAGTACCAGTGCTGCGCGTACTGCTACTGCTACCAGCCCCCGCAATTTATGTCGGAAAAACCGCCAAAAGTTGTTGAAAGTTTTGAGATTTCTGCGGGACGTCCCTGAACGAAAAACCTGGCACCGTAGTCCTGTAGTTTGCCGATCCTTGGCTGCAGGTAGTTGGAACGTATGGCTGAGTCGGTTTAGGGTTCAGGAAGTTTGGTGAGAAGAGCTTTGGCTTGGACCTGGATTCCACGCCTGAGAACCTGAAACCGTAGCAATCTATTAAGCCCTCACTCAACTGCCAGGTCATTCTTTGGGTTTCCTGCGAACCGGCCTTCCGCAGTCCGGCCAACAACCCTGTCCTCCACCACATCAAGCACAATACAACGCAATGGCCATCTTCGGCATTTCCCACCGTTCAACACTGCCTCCCTCACACCACATGCAAGGAACATGACATATGTCGCAAACGACAAAGAAGCGGTTCTTCTCTGCCGTGACTCACTTGCGCGGGAACCATTGGCTCTTCCTTCACGTCGTCCAAGGTAGAAGTGATAGATAAACAACAGTAAATTTAGACAATACCCACACCCGAACCTTTTTAGTTCAAGGCGGCCATGCCTATTCCTCCTCCTGCTCCTGTTTCTGCCTTTTGTGACATGTCTTAATTTCTGCAGGAAGCTGAGGACCCGCCCTCGATGGTATACGTTTGATGGATTGACTTCGGAATCGTAAAGTCCTTAAGTTTACGCTCTCGCAACTCGGACTTGCCAGACGAGGTCTCGGGCTCGAAGTACTTTGACTGGTCGGCACTAGCAACTGACAATCAGTTCGACACCACAGGGAGCATTGAACAATGCAAACCGCTAAATGCTTCGGGTAGATTCGCACGATTTGTGCTGGCTGTCAGTCGGTCTGTGTGGTGATTCAATGAATCTAGAGTACTCCGGAGACCATCTTGGAAAAGTAAATCACGTAAAAGCTCTCAAGTAAATCACGTAACAGCTCTCAAGTAAATCACGTAAAAGGTTATTAATTTGACTCGAATCTGTAGGCGATCTATACTAAGACTGACAGTCATTCATAGGCGAAGGAGCATTGAACACCAGCAAATGACTGTCGACGCGATTGTACGACAATTGGAGCCAAGCAAACTCAGGGACCACCACATTAGCGCGGCTTAGGGCTTAGAGTGTGAAGGCTTCATCGCTCGCCGTGTTGGTGTATAAGGAGTCTCGTCACTCACAACTGTGTCACTCCAGGCGAGGTTCATCGCGTCGCAATCGATTTTCATGAGGAGTTTGGGGCAGCGCGTATCACATGGCCGTGCCTAAACCCAGACCATGCATAGAGTAGAATGTGGTACAACGCAAGGACATGCAAGGACTGTAACCCAGGAGCCCTCGTGGCCGGCCTCCGAATCCCACTGGCCGAGTGGGCTAAGCAGCCTGAGATGGGGATGGTTGTTGGGTTCATGTTGCGATGCCCTCGGCCAGAGGGGAGCTTTGGGAGTTCATGCTTTGCGTCTGCTACTCACAAAAGCTGAAGAACAAGACTCTCCGTGCTGGCGAGCATCATCTCCGTCAGCTCATCACGCGTGCCCCGGCACACCCTGCCAGGTCACCAGAGCTCGGAACCCCAAATCCGGCGCGTGCTGCCCTCAAGCAAAGCTACCAAGCACAGAAACTTACCAAAGCGATGTTCTCCAACCAATAGCCTCCTCGTTCTCATCTTGTAGGTGGCTTTGGAGGCCGCTTCAGCAGAATGCTAGCATAAACGATGGCAGAAGGACAGCCCCAAGCGACGGTCATTGTCACTTAATTAGGCGTTCTTCTAGACAAAAAACCTCGGTTGGCGCACCAGAGTTGCAGCGCCCAGCCGAGGCAGCTCAAGGCTGCGACGAAGCCCAACAGCCTTAGGCGCGACTTGCGCTCGGAGTGGATTAAGAATCGACCTACGTGCTCACCTTTGATGACCCGTCACATCTAAGCGAACCGTCCCTTACTTCCTATGGGAAGCCCCAGTTAGTTGCCTTGTGGTATCCTGGGAGCCTGTCACAAGCGTGTACTCCAGCAATGGTCCAAGCTGCTCACAAGCTGTGGGGGTCGAGCTTCCATGGACCAGTGGCCACTCACGCTTAGAGGATCGTTCTCAAAGACCCCAACACCCCAACCAACCCAGCGCATGGTCCAAAAATCCTGAAAAACAAGGTGGAACATCCCACAAACAGGGAAGCTGCTATCAAGTCGAAGCAAGCTGCAGACCAGCGTTTGCAACTCTCCTTTTCTCTCGGATACCGGAGGCGCAGCAGGACTCTCCACTTCCAACGACAAGCAGGGATGTCCGGGCCGCCAACCCAAAGACCTAGCCATACAACTTCTGCCTGTCGAGTGCTGCAAGTAACAATCCGAATCCTGATTCGCGCCTACAGTCCGTTTCGCGTGAAACTCGGCTTTGGTCTACTGTATGTGTCACAGCCTGACGGCCCGGACCACCTGGGCCCGCGTGCCCCGAGAGCGCGTGGGGTTCACAGGCGGCTTGGCGGACCCCTTGGGCGAGACCTGACATTGACGATGGTTTGCACACCGACTGCTACTCCCTCGGCTGCTGCTCCTCCTCCTACTCCCACTCCTACTCCTACTACTACTACCACTACTATTACTACACCTACTACTACTACGACGACGACTACTACTACTTCTAGCACCCCAGCACTACCACTACCACTACCTCCACTACTACTACTCCTCCTCCGACTACTACAACAACTACTACTACTACTACTACTGCTACTACTACTACTACTACTCTAAATACTACAGCGACGACCACACGACTGCTGCTCCTGCTCCTGCTCCTGCTCCTGCTCCTGCTGCTCCTGCTGCTCCTGCTCCTGCTCCTGCTCCCGCTCCTGCTCCTGCTCCTGCTGCTGCCGCTGCTGCTACCGAGGATGCCTCATGTACAGCCTTGGTTGTGATGCCGATGTATTTTCCGTCGTTGCGGTGCGCAACAAGGGGCGCGTCCGAGTGATCAGTTACCTTACATGAGACAGCCGGGAATTTGTTGCCCTCTGCACTGGTTCGAGGTCCACGCGCCGATCTGGGTCGACAGTGTGGTCGCTATGCAAGGTAGAGCGCCTAGGGGACGTAGTGTCCTATGCGACCCGCCACGAGACCCGCATTGTGGATGAACGGACATTTGACACTGAATGCTACTGCTACTTCCACTGCTGCTACTGCTATGGTTACTACTGCTGTTACTAGTCCGACTCGGCGGCTACTACTGCTGCTGCACGGTGCTTTCTTACTGGCACATCCTTTACCATCTTCTCTGGTCGTCGTCGCAGTCGTCGTGCAGCAGCAAACGCACCAAGAGCAGCAGTCACGTGAGCAAGAGTTCGGGTGCCACTATATTTTGATGGTACTACGCTTCCTATTCTGATTCGTGCCTCCTATGACCATAACTGGGCTCGGCTCTCTTTACCTGTCATTACACCGTCGCAATGTCGCATGACTCCACTATCTTGTCAGGCAGTATGAAGACAAACATGTCACATAAACAAATGTACGTATGCCTTTATATGTGTAAAAAAACC